CTGAATTATAGTTCTTTCCATATCATCTTCTTTAGGGCACCAGCAAAGTATCAACATTAAAAGTGACACGTTTAGACAGTTTTAAAAAGCACCAAGAAATGATAGGGTATTGGGATTTGCTTTGAAACAATCTGAGTCGTACGTGGTGAAGTATCTTAATAAGCAAAGGACATTTGGGAGACAATCAACAAGATCTGTGCTTTGCTTCTGTGTCTCAGTTTTCTCATAAAATGAGAAATGCAAATAAATGAGAATAAAACAGGACTTAATGTCAGTATTGGGGGGTAAAATGGACTAATGCATTAAAAACCCTAACAACAGTGCTTAGCCTGAATAGATGCTCGATGACTAGTAGCTACTGTTATTATTTATGGATTCAAACCTGCAGTAAAATATGGAAATACAGGCTTACTAAGCAAAACATTCAAAACATGGGCATATCGAGGAAAAAGAGGAGCAGATCTTGTTCATATTGTTCTGGGACATTGTTTAACAGGCCCCGTCTGGGTTTATTTATGAAAATGTACCTGGTTTGATTCACTGTTTACTGTTAATTAAAAGTTCCAACTTGGGGAAGTTACATGTTAACTTATAGATTTTTGTCCAATAGAAATGCAAATAGTATGTCTTGGGGGCCCAAGGTTCACGGTTCACTGCCACATGATGAGGACCCCCTGGGTGTCCAAGCCATCGCTCTTCCTCTAACTTGTTTTTATTAAGTTAATTCAATTTCTTTAAATAATTTTATTAAGATAAGATAAATCTTATCTATGTCGTATATTTGTATCAGAGTCACAGTTTTCTATTTTTGAACATTATGGTTTCACAGAGGAAAGGATATGAGTCAAATTCATGTCAACGGTTGTCTCTAGGAAGGGAGAGGCATGGGGCTGGGGTAGAATAAATGGGGACATCAATGACCAATGATATGTTATTTGTCTTATTTAAAATTATAAAGATCTGAAGTATATGTGGCAAAATACTGACATTAATTAAGTCAACTTGGTGGAAACATGGATAGTTATTCATCTCTCTATTTTCAACCTTTTTTTAAAAATGTTTTCCTAAAGAGTAAAATAATCAAGTGCTGAAGCATCTTGTTAGGGGAAAGAAGAAATTTCTATGCTCTCATTAATTCCAAATTGTTGGCCAGAACCCAGAGGATGAGGACACTGCATCAAGACTTATAGCCTGGGGCCCACTGGTTAAAGTTTTGTGTCTAGAACTAATTAGCTGTATGACCCAGGGTAAGCAGCTTCCTTTCTTGAATATCAGTTTTGTTTCCTGTAAGATAAACACTGAATAATTATGATGTATCCCACTCCACTTAGGAATTTTTAGCTATCAACTTATAAGGAATTGTGAGAAAGTTTTGATTTCTCTGTGATGCTTCAATATTTTTTAATTATTTTTAATATGCATTCCCATGTTTATTACAGCATTACCCACAATACCAAGATGTGAAAACAAATTTAGTGCCCATCTCTGGATGAATGGATAAAGATGTTTCATATATTTTATATAGCATATTTATAAATATATACATATATCAATTTATATTTATGTATATTGGAATATTGCTCGGTCATGAAAAAGGAGGGAATCCTGCCCTTCGCAACAACATGGATGGGACTGGAGGCATTATGCTAAGTGAGATATCAGACAGACTGACTTATCAGTACAAGGGCAATCATACTGCAAGATGTAATGTATCAAACTAACACAGTACACTTCAAATTTACACAATGTTATATATCTATTTTAATTAGAAATAGAATTATTAATGAAAAGTTCAAATATATAAGAAGCAGATAGTATAAATTAGCCCCATCTACCTTTCATCCATCAAACTTCAACAATTACCCCACATCATCAGACTGAAAATAATAAAAATAATTTTTAAAGTCCACCTGAAAAATTATAAACTTACAGCCAATCTTGTTTTGTCTCTATGCTCACTGCTCCTACCACCGGATTATTTAGTTTTTGTTTTTGCCTTTTTATTTTGATGTAAATAATATATTTTATATTTATAAAGTATTTTAACAGAATTTGTAAGGTTATAAAATAATATAGGAACTCTCTTTACCTTTTATTCAATCGCCATGGTTTAGATTTTGCTCCCCTTTTACATATATGTATAAAACATCTACATATAACATTCATATATATCCATATATTCATATATATCCATTCATATATATTCATATATAATGTTGATATAGATGTATATTTTCCAAAATAATTTTCACTAAACACTTCAGTGCGTAGTTCCTAAGAGGCCTTCTCATCCATCACCAATACAGGTGTCAATTTTTTTTTTTTTAATAGAGGCATGCTTTATTTATTTGTTTACTGGTTTGTTTGTTTGTTTGTTTTGTTTATACAAGCACTGGGTACAGTCAGAAGTGCGGGAGGGAGGGTGAGAGAATTCACCAGAGCCAGAGCGGGGAGCAGAACAGGCAGAAGGACCGAAGTACACTGCTGAGGGGAGCAGCGGGCGGCAGGAGAGGTCTGCGCGCCATGTGGGACCCTCCTCCAGTGGCCGGGGAGCAGCTGGGGATCGAACCGGCGCCGCAGAGGCCGCGCGCAGTTTCGCAACCCAGCGCTCAACCGCTGCGCCACCGGGGAGGCCCAATACAGGTGTCAAAACGGGGACATTTTACAGTGACGGTGCCATCGGCTAACTCACAATTCATTTTCAGATATTGATTGTCTCCAAATATACTTTTATATTCCCCCATGTATGACTCAGATTATTTCAAAGCAAATCCCAATGTCCTGTCAACTCCTGGTGCTTTTTAAAAATGTCCAAACATGTCCTTTTTTTTTAAGATTTATTTATGCATACAAGAGCTGGGGTGTAGGCCAGACGGGCAAGGGGTGCGAGGATTCACCAGAGACAGAGTGGGGAGCAGAACAGAAGGATTGACTGAAATACACTGCTGAGGGGAGCAGCGGGCGAGGCAGGAGAGGTCTGCTGCGCCATGTAGGTCAGCTCCCTGGCCAGGGATCGAACTCATGCAGCAGTGGCTGCGGGTAGCTTCAAAGTGCTGAGACTTCACCCTTACACCACAAGGGAGGCCCCAAACATGTCATTTTTAATGTTGGTACCTGGCTGGAGCCCTAAGCGTGCCCATGGCTCCCAGGCTGGGTGGCTCAGCCATACAGCAACCTCAGCCCCTGTGCTGGATGCCCTGCAACTTTCAGCTCAGACAATCTGTGACTCACAGACCGCAGCCGCCTCCACTCCGGTAGCCTCAGCTGAGCCCAGCATGACTCAGCCTCAGGAGAGCATCAGCTGACGAGCGAGTGGGCAGGAGGGCATCCCTGCCCACAGAGCAGTCAGAGAGGAGGAGGGAGGCTCGCCTGGGAGGGAGGTGATCGGCATCTTGACTCCCAGAGAACAATCCCCTTGGCTGCTCCTTACTGCCGGCATTTCCTGTACTTCAAAGTCACTTCATCTCTGAAATATAATTTTTGTTTAAATTGCCAATATAAATGAACTACCCATTCCGTTAACAAGGCCCCTGGTGCCTCCTCAGATGATTCCCTGGCGGCCAAAGCCAGGAGAGCTTTCCAGAGAGGGTCAGGCCCCACGATCCTTTCCCCACGCGCCCCCAGCTCCCTTCAGGGCACACAAACAGCAAGAAAAAGAACCTGGGCCTCACCCAGCCTAGCCCTGGACCCTCACCCCATGGGGGCGGGGGGTCACCCGTGTGTTCGCCCAGTGTCAGCGCTCAGGAGAGGCCCTCCATGGCCGGCAGAGAAGGTCCCCTGGGCCATTCATTTGGAATGGCTGGGTAAGCAGCCTCCAGGATCCCGCGCACATCAAGAGGCAGACGACGCTTCTTCATCCAGACTTCAGATTCCAGGGAGGAGGCAGGAAGGCTGCCAAGCCTCTGCCGGCGAGAATGGAACTCTAAGCTCCATCTCCTCAGAAGACCCCAACCTCCCTCAAGGCCCACGTAAGTGACCAAAGTCTACAGGGGATCATGTCTTCTTCCCTGAGGCTTGGACCTCCCAGGACCCCAGGAGAGGATATGGGGTGGGCATGTTTCCAGGCCCCCCCCTCCCAGAGCACTGAGCCTCAAAGCCACCCCAGGCCATGAGGGGACGGAGCTGCCTTTATAACATCTGGCAGGACCCAGCGTGTCCAGAGCATCCATCTTCAGTGCCACGTTCTGCTCGCCTGAGTCCAGTGCCTCAGCGCCGGGTCTGGATGTGTGGCCAGCCCAGTAATAGCTCCCAGGAAGAGACCCTGAAGGACACAGCTGGCGTGAATGTGAGTCCCAGCATCAGCCCACACCTGAGAGGCCCCTGAATCCCGTCAGGAGGCTGATCAGCCTGAGGAGCACCATCTGCTAAGGTGGGTATTCACCAGTTGGAAATTCTCACGCCTTCCACCAGAGCTGACTGAGGAAGGTCAGGCTGCTGGTCAATCCCATGGTCCGTGCCCACCCCCCACTGTACTCTGTCAGCCAGTAAGCGTGTCCTGAGACCCTGCTCCTTCAGGGATCCAGAGCACCCCACCCAGCTCCCCGTTCACGACGTGCTCACAATCTGACTGTGGTAGGATGGATGTTGGTGTCCACCCTGCTTCTGGAAGTGGGCTAAATACACCGATTCGTTGTCTTCCAGCAGACAGAGGAAACTGAGGCTCCGGGAGGCTGAGTCACTCGACCAGGTCCCCGGCTCCTTGCGATGTGCCTCTCTCTTAGCAAAGGTTTCCTGGGACTAGCCCCCCTTCCAGCTCTTGCTCTTCCCCATCTCCGCCATGAACCCCACCTTCCTCATCCTCCAGGGCCAGTGCCAGCCTCCTTCCTGAATCCCCCAGGGGGTCCCCAACTGCAGGTGGGCACCCTCTAACTTCACTCTTTTTTTCAAGGGAGCGAGTTTGCCTCTCAACAAAATGTCAAGCTCCCACACAACCCAAACCATGTCTTACACCCTCTCGAGCCGCTGTTGTTTAAATACTTTCACTGTAATTATTTAAATACCTTTCAGTGGCCACAATTGTTCAAGTACTCCTGGATAACAGCCCTTGTTCAAGTATTTGGTGTTCGCTTGTTTTAGAACTTAGAACAGCCTCTATTTTCAGAAGTTATAACCTGATAAAGAAATAAAATAACCCAATGAGGGGAAGACTTTGAAACATTGAAAAGCTGTTATACAATTCGAATCCCTGCATTTGTGTGAGTAAGATTCAAAGGCCAGATCATCGCCGTGCGCAACGTGAGAACTCGGGTAGGGAAGGAAAGGCTGAGTGGGAGGGCTAAGGGCTGGAGGCGAATCCTGAAGGCGCTTTGCCAAGTGGGAAGCTCAGGACATCTGTAGGAGCTGTTGGTCAAGGTCACCACAAATGGAGAATCATTCATATGCTGAACGATTGTTCTAAAGGAGCCCAATGGCCATCTAGGAGCTGGGGTCGGGGGAGCAGAGGATGGAAAGGGAACACAGTCTGGCTCATGTTGTACCCAAGAGCTCAGCTCAGCCTAAAACTATACTGAGCATGACTTGTGTGTGTGTGTGTGTGTGTGTGTGTGTGTGTGGGTCTAGTGAACATTCACCCTACCAGAGAAAAAGGCAAACATTAACATTGGTTGTGAATCAGAGATTTGTGGATGTTTAGATTGGCCAGAAGTAGGTCCCTAAGAAAGTTAAGTTAAGGCAAGAAGAGTAAACATTGACGATACCTGGGCACCTGGGTGGGGAGCCTGGTGCGGGGCAGCTAGTTAGACTCCAGTGCTGAGTCATGTGGTGGCATTGTCGGGACCCTGGCTCTCGGGGATGCATGTTCGGACCTTTACAATAAGCAAGTTCTCCCACAGTCAGAGGGATGGCGAGAGGGGACTACAGCCTCTACCGCACACACACGCTCCAGGACACTGGTTTTATGGAAGAGTAGATATGGACACTGAGGTTCTGCAGACTGATTCCCTTTCCATTGTTTTGCCTATGAGCCCCTCGAAAAGTCTCCACTTACCCTCAGGAGGACACAACTCTAGTTCGAACACAGTCGCTTAGGAGAAGCCGGCAGCTCCAGGGCTCTACCTTCTGCAAGGTGAGGTGCCTTTCCCAGTGGCCCTTCTCTCACTTTTGAAAGCAATGCTTGCTTCTGACCCACCCCAAATCTTTGATAAAACATTTCACCATCATACAGAAACTTCGAGAATACGACACAGAGATCATATCATAAACAGGTGTGATTTTCATGATTGCCTATAAAATTCTTTTTAAGTCAGATGGAAATCTCTCAACAAAATGGAGGTTCTTTTCAAGCTGATATGATAAAGCACTAAAAATAATTCCTGGTGATCGTCACTGTGTGCTTCTCAGCATCACTAAGGACTTCAATGAACTGAATGGCATCACCATAACAACACTCTGTAGATCCCCCTCCATGCTGACAAGGTCGCTCAGAACTTCCTAGCTCATATACAAAACATTTGCCAGGGATCACTGCTACGAAGGATCTTGGGACTTAAAAGGCTCTTTGTGAGCGGAACAGACCCTCCTGAGGTTGTTCCTTACAATAAGGTAAAAAGTATCCTTTTTCTAAATAAGTTCACATGATTCTTTCTGTGTTGCCCGGGCCTATGCTGGCCCGAAGACCCACACCCAGGCAGGGTCAGACTGCAGGGACCAGGAGTGACCTCAGAGATCCTCCATACCCAGCCTTGACTTTGCCAGTGAGAAGTCTCCAGCCCACCGAGAGGAGACTTGCCCAAGGTAACAGAGTTAAGGCACAGCGGAGGTAGGATTAGACAGCAGGTCCCCAGGCTGAGTCCAGCACTTTCTGCCAAGCTCAGGGCTTCTTCCAGCAGGAGGGGGCAAAGGTGAGGCTGTACTGCTCTGTCCTTCTGCAACGTGACACCACATTTCCCCCTTGTCCTCTGCATAAAGCGTGTGACACAGATGAAGAGGCTGGCAAGCTTTCCATAGAACTGATTTTCAGGATGTAGCTCAGACTCAAAGAGGAGAAGGGTGAGGGGCTGAAGACCTCAGTAGGCGTGGGGAGGGAGAAAGAAAGGACTCTGGGCATTTCGTCTTTTACTGATAAACATCTTGGGGGGCGCTAAAGGGCCATTTCTGAGCTTATGGTCTCGGGGGTGACATGCAATTCCATAGATTCTCCGAGGACAAAGTGGTTGTGATACAGAGGAGGGGGTGCCCTGAAAGGTGTTTAAATACAAGACTGAGTCCTGAAAGCTGCTTCAAAACAAGAAGGAAAAGAAGCCAGGTGGTGTTTGAATCCGTTTAAATGAAACGTCCAGCTCAGGCAACTCCATAGAGAAGATTAGTGGCTTCCAGGGGCCGGGGGAAGGAGCGGGTGGAGAGTGGCCATGAATACGATTTTCTTTCCTGGGCGATAAAAATGATCTGCAAAGAAATAGCAAGGGTGGTTGGGCAGCCTCGTGATGGTGCTACCCCTGCTCCGTACACTGTAAAGTGATGATGGTGATGGTAGGTGAAGTAGATCTTGATTTTTTTAAAGACAGAATGAAATGATTGCCAGAGAGTCAGGGCATATTTATAGATACAGGCACAAGAGATTAGGGGGAGGGATTTCACATTTCTGGATTACCCCCATGTCCCAGACCTTTCAGATATCTCACATTCCTTCATTTAATGAGGTCACAGAGCAGCCCTGTGTGTTTCCAAGGATATCAGAATTAAGGCTCAGGTCGTCTGGCAGCTCGGCCATGTCCTTCTCATGATACCTCCCGTCCTCCTTGTTGAAGAAGCCTCATCCTTGCTTGTTGTTCTCCCTGACTGCGGCACACCCGGTGGCAGGCAAGCCCAAGTAATGCTGTTTGAGTAACCATTGATGGTCCCCTCCACAGATGACACCTGGGGAACTAGCCCTTGCCAGCGGCAACCACACCCCAGTTACCCACTTCATCTTGCTTGGGTTCTCCAATTATCCAGACCTCCAGAAGCTTCTTTTTGGAATTTTCCTGCTCATCTATGCCATGACAGTGGTGGGCAACCTGGGGATGATGGCCCTCATCTTCACAGACTCCCGTCTCCACAACCCCATGTACTTTTTCCTCAGTGTTCTCTCTTTTCTTGATATCTGTTACTCTTCTGTGGTCACACCCAAGCTCTTGGTCAACTTTTTGGCCTCTGACAAGTCCATCTCTTTTGAAGGCTGTGTAGCCCAGCTGACCTTCTTTGTGGTGCACGTGACAGCGGAGAGCTTCCTGCTGGCCTCCATGGCCTTTGACCGCTTCATGGCCATCTGTCGGCCCCTCCATTATGGTTCTGTCATGACCAAAAGGACCTGCCTCCAGCTGGTGGCTGCTTCCTATGCGTTCGGTGGCGCCAACTCCGCTATCCAGACTGGGAATGTTTTTGCCCTGCCTTTCTGTGGGCCCAACGAGGTAACTCACTACTTCTGTGATATTCCACCCCTTCTCCACCTGGCCTGTGCCAACACAGCCACAGCAGAAGTGGTACTCTATATCTTCTCTGCCCTGGTTACCCTCCTGCCTGCTGTTGTCATCCTTACCTCCTATAGCTTTGTCTTGGTGGCCATTGGGAGGATGCGCTCGGCAGCTGGGCGGGAGAAGGCCATCTCCACGTGCGCCTCCCACTTCCTGGCCATTGCCATTTTCTACGGCACTGTAGTTTTCACCTACGTCCAGCCTCATGGATCCACTAGTGACACTAATGGCCAAGTGGTGTCCGTCTTCTACACCATCATAATCCCCATGCTCAACCCCTTCATCTACAGCCTCCGCAACAAGGAGGTGAAGGACGCCCTGCAGAGGAAGCTCCAGGTCAACATCTTTCCCTGCTGAGCTCTGCAAGGTTGTCTGTTGGAATGAGGAGGCACATCTTCCAAACCACACTATAAATTGATCTCATGAAAAGCAATTCTGGGGCCTACCTGGTGGCACAAGGGGTTAAGACGCAACCTATGAAGTTGTCCGCACGAGTTCAATCCCCAGGCCAGCCAGGGAGCTACCCACATGGCGCAGCAGACTTCTCCTGTCTCACCCACTGCTCCCCTCAGCAGTGTACTTCAGTCAATCTGCCTGTTCTGTTCTCCGCTCTGTCTCTGGTGAGTCCTCTCACCCCCCACACCTCTGGCCTATACCCCAGCTTTTATATGCATAAAAAATAAAGAAAATCTTAAAAAAAAAAAAAGAAAAGAAAAGCAATCCTGACTTTGAAGGAGATAGACGAAGCAGGGGGAAAAACAGCAAATACTATACTTGGTACAGAGCATGGCAATTTTTAAAGCCCCTTCTTGTTCACTGTTGTATTACATCTTTCCTGCCATATTGTGTGGCAGCCATTGTTAACACCATCTCATTTTACCAAGGAGGGACATGTGACTCAATTAACAATAATGAATTACCTACAGGCATAGAGTTAGTGAGAGAGTGTTCAACATTAGGGCTTCCACAACACCACCAGGGATATCTCATTCACACCCCAGCTGTGAGTTAAGTCTTTCATTAGCAGCTCATCATAACTTCCAAGACGCATCAGAAAAGGGATGATACAATCACTTCTGCTTTGTCACTGACACAGTGAGATGAAGGCAGGTGACAAGTGTCCCAGTTCTTTCTTTCTGTGCAGAAAGATGAGCAGGACAGAGTGTCCTTATTTCTTAAATTTTCTGCATTTTGCTGGGCTGTGCCATTCAGACCAAGAGAGAACTTTCCTCCTTGTATATCTGCCCGCTAGCCTGGTTCATCCGTGTCTCATCATTCTTAAGGGGGTGTGAGTGTGTGATGTTTGGGCAGTCAACACTCTATAAGACACTGTGCTCTGGGAGGGTGATTCAAAACATTTTTTAATATATTTGGCCTGAGTATCTTTAAATAGCCATGTAATATGATGAATAAGTGTGTTTTAGAAAAATCACCCAGATGAAGAAACTGACCTCTCAGGGCTGAACTTGGACTGAAAGACTCTTAACACTTAAACTCATACAAAACCCTCACCTGAACTGAGTTGGCTTCAGTCTGAGTTTTAGGGTCATCCACAAGCTTTTCTTCCCTGATCTACTAAGGAAATTATTCTAAATACAGAAAATCTTACTGTAATAACAGGCTTGTCACAGCATCATTTTTGAAGACAAAAAAAAAAATCAGAAACAACTAGGATACTAGAAAGAGGGAATGGGTTGAATGGCCCACCCTCTAGATGAATTAGGATGCAGTCGTTAAAAATTATGTTATGGAGACTACAAAATAATGTCAATAACTCTAGAGAGTTATTGAAACTATATAACAAAAATGAGTGACAAATGACCTGGAATAACACACAAAATGTGAATAATGGTTGTATCATGGTAGCCAGGTAGGCATGTTTTGTTCAAAATTTTCCAAGACTGTTTTAATATGCATGTTTAATTTCAATACTTCATTCTAAAAATGGAAAATTTTTAAAATAATTTCCCAAAAGCTGGGTGTGAAAATGTCTCATTTTTGTCATTTTTCATTAAACAACTATTTACTAAATTTCTCCCATAGTCCACATTTCTTTCATGTATAAACTAATTTTTTAGAACATGCAAGACTGTAACATTATGATGAACAGACTTGGTAAAATTATTCTAATTCACTTACCTAGAAAAATACTTATGTGACAATTAGCCACAATACATTGCAGAACACATATTAGTCAGATAGCTTATGCACCAGTAACATCTTTCACCTATGCTAAGTAAGGTAGATCAGTTGAGTCTCCAGGTAAGCTTTTATCCATCCATCAATATCTGGATGACTTTCATATTACAATTTCACCATTTCAACTTACACCCTGCAAGATTTTAATGGTGGAGGAAATGATCAAGGGGGTGTATATAAGGCATACATATGACTTATTTAACATGTTCTCTATCACTTATTATTAGTGAAGTGCAAATCAAAACCAAGCGAGATTTTACCTCAAACCGGTTAGAATGGTTATTATTAAAAGTCAAGAAATAGTAAGTAATGGCAAGAATGTGGAAAAAAAGAAATCCTCCTGCACTGTTAGTAGAAATGTAAATTGGTGCAGTTACTATGGAAAACAGTATGGAGGGTCCACAAAAACCTAGAAATAGAACTATCATATAATCCAATGATCCCACTTCTGGGTATTGAATTAAAGAATACAAAAACACAAATTCAAAAAGATACATGCACCCCTATTTTCATAACAGCACTATTCACAGTAACCAAGATATGGAAACAACCCACATGCCTGATGGCAAGGGAGGAATGGATAAAGAAGATGTGGTACATATACGCAAGGGAATACTACTCAGCCATAAAAAATGATGAAATCCTGCCATCCGTGACAACATGGATGGACATTGAGGGAATTGTGTCAAATGAAATGTCAGAAGAAGAAAGACAAATACCTTATCATTTCACTTGTTTTGTGGAACATGAAGAAATAAAAAGCAAATAAACAAACAAAACAAAAACAAACAGACTCTGACAACAGAGTGGTGGTTCCCAGCGGGGAGGTTGGGTGGCGGGAATGAGTAGAGGGGACAATGGGTTAGTGATGAATAGTGACTGGGTCGTTGGTGGTGGAGTGGTGAGATATGTAGATGCAAAAATGAGAAAATATACTCCTGGTATCGATACAGTGTTATAAACTAATGTTACCTCAATAAAAAGAAAAAGATCACATAGAGTGTTTTTAATTTCCTGGCCCAAGGCTGGCTCACATCACTTCAACCCACATGCCATCAGCCTGGAGCCAATCTCATGGTTCCAAAAGAACTGTAAAGGAGGCTGGGAAATGTAATCTTCTTTTCTACCCAGAAAGAAGAAAACTAAACAAGCTCACATAAGTACATAGCTTTGTCTCTATCACTGGCCCGTTGGGCAGTTAGTTGGTTGACCATCATCCCCAGAATAAACCAGAAGTCAGGTGCCAGTTAACTCTCATTTCTACCTAACTGAGGCACAGTCTTGCTTTGGGTGGAAATTTTAAAATAACCCTCGCCTGTGCTGAGCTATTTATTGAGAATATTTTGAACCACACATTTAAGTTGCTTCCAAGGGCTGGCTGTGGCTTCCCTTCCATGATGTCCTGATAGCAAGTGGCAGCCCTACCCAGAACTACATTTCCAAAGCCCATCACATGCAGAGGCGGCCTTGTGACTAGGTATCACCAAGAGAACGTGATCAGAAGAGAGATTTCACTTCAAGGCTCAGACTCTTTAGAACTGGGAGGGTGTGAGGACCTCTTGATGTTTCCTTTGCTAGTGGTTGAAATCATGGGACTCTGGCCATGGGGCACATTAGAGCCACTTAAGAGGGCTCTGATTTCCTGCATCAACAGAGCAAAGTTGTCTCCTAACTGGAAGTTCAGGAACAAGAAATAAACTCTAATATTGTTAGGCCACTGAACATAGGGCTTGTTTGTTAAAGCGATTGGAGTTGCCTTCACTAAAACAATGAAGTTTAGGTTGTTTTGGTCTTATGTTTTTGTAACAGGAGGCACAGGCTGCCTCTGTGAGTGTTCCCATCATCCCTCTGTTGGTCACTGCATCATTTGGAGCACCCACTGACCTATTCCCAAGGTTAATACCAGGCAAATAGATATGCAAAAATAAGCTAAGGAAATGTCATTTTGATAGAGGCAATTCCCTCTCCAGGACAGTATCTTGAGATGTATTTATTGCTAACCTTCCTTTCACTAGTGAAGAAAGACCCAAGAAGTTAAGCAACCATCCAAGTTCTCACAGCTAGGAAGGAGACAAGCAGACCTGGTTAGCAAATATGAAAACCCTACTGGCAATTAGAAAAATAAAAATTAACATCCCAAGATACAATTTAGTCCCGTCCAAAACAGCAAAAATTAAAAATCAGACAGCAGGGTTAGTAACAGCTGTGTGTAAGCTGGACCCACCAATATTGACAACAAAGTGGTATCAGATCAAAAATTGCCTCTATCACTATGTAGGGCTTCCCTGGTGGCACAGGGGTAAAGTCTCATCACTATGAAGCTATCACCAGCCACTGCAGCACGAGTTCAATCCCCAGCCAGGGAGCTGACCCATATGGCACAGCAGACCTCTCCTGTCTCCCCACTGCTCCCCTCAGCAGTGTATTTCAGTAGATCTGCCTGTTCTGCTCCCCACCCTGTCTCTGGTGAGTCCTCTCACCCCCTTCCATAGGAAACAGGTGCAGACCTAAGGTGCTGGGGTGAAAGAATCCACCAGAGACAGAGTGGAGAAAAGAACAGGTGGATTGATTGATTGATTGAGATACACTTGTGAGGGGAACAGCAGGGGAGACAGGAGTTTGCTATAAAAAGAATGAGGGTCCTGAGGCTCTATTTATACTCACTTATATTTATACTCCAGGCATCGCTGACTGGTTAGGGTGACCGGTCTTGGTGTGTCCTGACTGATGATTTGAATTAGCATAGAAGGTCATCAGCTTAATGTCCGGGTTCCCGAGCAGTCCCATCCACTCCCTTTATCCATTCAAGTCTCCCTAACCTGTCTGCTGGGCAAAGAATGGGGGTTTGTTTTTTTAAATTTAGTAATGATACCTCGACACTGGGGTTTGTGGATCCCTGGGAGCTGGTGAGAAAGACAGAATCTCAGGCTCTTGAACCCACTGAATCAGAATCTGCCCTTTAACATGAACCCCAACTGATTCACCATCACATTAAAGACACTTGTACCATTTGACTTCCAAAGTAGGCGGCCTGCTGGCTGATAGGCTGTTTATTTTAGTGATTCTCTTTAAGCAGTATAAGTTTGATGCACATTCAAGTGTCTATTTCACCATCTATTTTTAAATAAATAGTTTTGATAAAGTTTAAAAATCATAAACACTTTTGGGCCTCCCTGGTGGCACAAGGGGGTAAGCACAGCACTATGAAGCTATCCGCACTCTGCAGCAAGAGTTTCATCCCCGGCGAGCTCAATCCTGGCAGGCCAGGGAGGTGACCCACATGGCGCAGCAGACCTCTCCTGCCTCACCCGCTGCTCCCCTCAGCAGTGTACTTCCGTCAATCTGCCTGTT